GAAAGAGAAAAAGAAGAAGGAAAGAAAGGGAAGCTCGTCTGGTGGCGCCCGCAGACGACTGTTTTTGTTCCTTTATAATTTGGCAGTAGTCGACGGTTCCTTTCGCAGAAAGGCAGGATGCGTGCATGCCTTGCAAGGATCGCAAAGAATTTGTTGTCGATGTTCTTTAAAAAATTGTATCATTTGTTTTTTAAAATATCTCAATGAACATAGAATTCCTATTCAAACGTGTCTTGTATCATTCTGGTCTAGGGAAATATTTGCTGAAACGAAATGCGACGATGGACAAACGATTCAAAGGATTAAGAAAATTTTCCTACATAACCTATTTTAAAATGTAGTTTCGAAAGAATGCGACATTAAATCTTGTGTAAAATACATTTGAATCTATATATATGTTCTATTTAATTGAATCTCTCAAGAGATAAATTTATCGAATTTATAAGAAAATTTTTTTTCTACAGTTTCTATCATTCAATCTAACCTCAAAAATTCATATAATATTACTCTTTATCTAAAGTTAATTTTAAATAGTATGTTAAATATTTTTTATTCTTCTTAATAAATGCTTTAAAATATCCAAATCATTTTTGAATAAATCGTATACGAAATATTGCAAACATCTTTGCAATCTCTTATACAAAAATTTTTTGAAGAAAATCTAAACGGTTGTAAACGTCTCTTTATAAGAAATTATATTAAATCAATTCGATAATTTTAAAAATAGTTTATCGATTCTTCTCGATCGGATCAAAATTTTAAAAAAAGTAAGAGAAACGAGAAGAAATTTGACGATGAAAAGTTTCCAATGACGGTTGAAAAAAAGCTGCGCTGTTCCGTGGTACGCATAACAATGTGCGGCATACCACGATTTGCGGTTGCGAGGGGATAAAAGTGTGGTGCAAAATACTTCTGAGAAAAATTCTGGCAAAGCTTCTCCGAGAGCACAACGCCACTCCTTTTCTTATCGAGAACGTTTTTGTGAAACGCGGAACGTGAGGCGTTTGAACTTGAGAAAGAAAAAAAAAGAGAAAGAGAAAGGAAAATAAACGATTGGCTCATAGCGATTGAATTCAATTCGAAGAAACTCGAATTTAAATCAGATCATTTTAATCAGATTTTGATATTTTAATTATATTTTATTATATATTTAATTACATTTTTTTTTGAAAATTTAAATTTATTAATACATTTTTTATTAATTATAAATAAAAAATTGTCATAATAAAAAATTCGTAAAATTCATATTTCACATCAATTGAACATCAATTCATTCAATGTATCGCTGTTTTTTTTATAATGAAAATAAAAATTTAATTAGAATGTTAATATAAACGTGTAAAGATTTTTTAAAGCAAATCCATAAAACAGCATGTTTGTTTCATAAATTTAAATTCTCATGACAAAATAAATGTGAAATTGTATAAAATTTATGAACTAGTGATGAATTTTAGATCAAAGTTATAATTTAATATATTTTTTCAATAAAAATAATTCATTTATGATTGTATATAAAAAATAATAAAAATTATAAAATGTTCATTTAATTATTTTAATAATGTGATTAATATGTAATCGATATCATTAAAAAAATATAATTTTGATTACATGAAAATTATTCTCAATTGTACTCAAAGTCACACATTGATATATAGTTCCTGCTTGCGATAACCTTATGGCGACTTATTCTCACTTTTAATTTCATCAGGCGTGACATCATTGCGATAAAATCAGACATTAAAAATACGTTGGCTTCTTCTACTGACAATGAACAAGGAACGTAGAATTACGTCATTCAGAATGTAGTAAACGTGCGTAGCGGTAATCCGTAACAATAGTAGACGATGGCCTTGATGATAGTCATGTTATTTATGCGTCTTCAAGTTCAATTAGTTTTTAATTTTTAAACTTTCAAAATCTATAACGCTATTTTAAATATTCCAATTCTTTATAATTTTTTTGACGTTTATAATCATTTTTATGCAAAATCATTATCTATTGATATCTTTATAATATTAAATTTTTGAAATTAATGAATATAAAATAAATATAATTGACTAATTAAGGATTTAGATGGACTGTCAGTAAAAAACTATTTATTTTAACTATCCCATAACATTTATCAGGTAGTATAATCTGATTATTATTATTTTTTTCTTATGAAATTCTGTTTTTTAGTAAAAAATTGAATAATTTAAAAATTAAATAATATTTAGTTAATTCATTAAATATCAATTTTGAAAAATATTTTTTAATACATTATATATTCTTAATAGATTAATATATTAATGTATTAAAGTAGATACAATTAATATTTTTTTTTTGGACTGAATGATATAAATCTATAAATATTCTTAATATTTTAATTAATTTCAACTCAATTTTTTTAAGTTGTTATCTTTCTCTATATTTTTTCTCTAATCTTTTTTTTTTTGTTTTTTTGTTTTAAGTTTTTTTATAGGAGAAAGTATAAAACCACGTATAAAATGAGCACCGCTGACTGCTAACAGCATCTACACTCCATGAATGGAACGGCTTCCACGAATAGTACAGCCCACTCAAAAATGCGAGTAGCCGACATATAGAAATGAGTAGTAACATGACGTAGATATGAAAAACGTTAATTAAAATTTCTTTCATGTTAAGACTTTTCTTGCTATTCTTTTTACCAATTATTCGCTGCTATTACTTATTTATTATTAAAATGAAAATATTGTATCGCAATAATCGTTATCTTCAAATTTTCTAACATGATTAAAATTATCAATGAAATTTTTATTATTTCTATACTTTTTAAAAAGGAAAAATGATAGTTCAAACTTTGATTATTCATTTCAAACCGTTACTATGAAGGTTAGAATGCAATTTATAATGATTGTATTGTATTGTGACTATACGAAATAAAAGTTGCTTGACCTCACGTTCCTTTCTAATTTACACATACTTGTTTGAAAGTTTACGTCTGTCTATATATTTAAATTATAATTAACTTAACACAAGTATGATATAATGTATTTATAAGTAACAATTATTAAATTTAAAGTATCAATCTGCAAACATTTTATTTATATTTATAAAGAAATGAAATGAAAATGAAAAATATTCTAGTAGAATATCGCAATGTAAACAAATTCAAATAAATAAATGTAAAAATCCTCCGAATAAAATTTATCATAAAAATAATTACAAATGAAAATAATAAATAACCTCTTGCAGATAGAAGAAATAGGTTAGGAATCCAGCCATTAATAGAACCAATAGGATAGTAATAGAACATTATCTACGATCATCTTACGTACATTGAAGAAAATAGAATTGACAATGAAAATAACAAAAAAAAACCAATAAAATGTAAATTTCTGTACATAGTAAAAAAGATTAATACCTTAAGGAAAAACTAAAAAAAATTATATAACCGCCAAAGCAATATTCAAGAGCACAGACCACAAAATGTCAGTAGCTTAAATCTTGGTAAGCCATGAAGAGTCAAGTCCAACAGGAACGGATTGAAATGGAAAAATGTATATACACACGTAACAGATTTTAAAACACCGCGGTCCCAGTAATGTATTCATAAAGGCATCCCTGCCGTTCCACAAAAGGAACGTGGGATAGTAGTGTGTCTTTAAGGTTATTCTTCCTCTTCTTCCATTTCTTTATTTTCTTATTTCCTTTTTCTTTTTTTTACGTAAAGATTCTTGTTTGCCCGTTTTACGCGCTCGACTGACCCAAGTCATGTACCCATGACCTTGCGTTTAGCTGAATAACCTTTATACACGTACGAAACCGAATTGAATCCAGTTCCACGAAGCAAGACGGGACCTTCTCGTCTCTTCTGTGCGTTCGCTTTCATCGTTTGGTCAAATGCCCGCATTATATTCACGGATATTAAATTCACGTTAGAGAGAAGAAACTCGGAGAAACATCAGGGGAGGTCTTGTTGCCAATTTTAATTCGTCCTATGTAAAACGAATTCGCATTAGCAAATTTTACAATGATCAGTTAACTATTGCGATAATGATGAACATTGTTTACTGTTTATAATAATTATAAAATTTAACTAGTACATATTTGATTCTTTGATTTTTTTAATAGTAAATAGTAGTGTAATTATATATTTTTTTAATTTTCTATTATTAATTGGATTCATTTTGATATATGTAAATGAATATTGTTAAATTTATTAATAAAATAAACAATTAATAAAACTTTAATATTATAAAATTCATTTTTTTATACCTTTAAATATTGTATTATAAATTTAATAATTTATAATTATTAAATAGATTAAAGATTATAGAAAAAAAAAAGATTAATAAATAAAGATTAAAGATTATAGAAAAATGAACGACAATTAATTTTATAACAAAGATATGTTCGAAATGAACAATAGAAAAAAATCTTACATTATAATTTCGTAATTTGATCATTTCGAATATTGAAATATCAAAATATAAATTCCCGCTATTTTCTCATTTTCTTATTTCAAAAATGAAATAGTAAATATATTAATATGTAAAAATTATAATGAAAAACTTGAAACTTTTATTATTAATTTTCTTTCTCTTTTTTTCATTATAATAATTTCCTCTTTTTATTATCTATTAATATATATAATTATTAACTGTTTATAAACTAAGAGAAACTTTATAATTTTACTTACCGAACAGGATCATTCAATGCTGTTGTAATTTAAATATCACATGTATATTTTCAAGCATCTGTAAAGTAAATAAAATTACGAATAAAGATTCTTCAAAAATTTACTAATTTTAACACAATTTAAGATATTACAAACAAAGCTATTTCAATATTTTATATATTTTTTTTTAAATATTTATATTTAACTTTTTTCTAATGTATCTTTAAACACTAATAACACTAAAACTTCTAAAATCACAATGGTGGAATTAACGAATAATTGTACTTTATTTTAAATTTGTAAATTGAATATCATGTATACCAATATTAAAATATTAAAAATATATAGATGAAATCTTAATATTAGTGGCAACACTGATCGAGTATTCTATATCAGTTGCTATCTTGTCAACATACTTAACCTAAAAGTGTACTTAACCTGTACATCTCTTATATTTATTTATAAATAACAATTTTCGTGATTGATTTTATTATATTAAGCTAAAAACATGTCGGAACGTAAAGTTTTAAATGTAAGTAAAATTTTATATAATTGATTATATTAAATTAAATAGAAAAATGTTTAAATTGATTATAAATATTAACGTATATTAATTTAATATGTTGTGGCTATAATTTTTATATTTCAGAAATATTATCCACCGGATTTCGATCCATCAAAAATTCCTCGTATGAAATTAGCCCGCAATAGACAATATACGGTACGTTTAATGGCTCCTTTTAATATGAGATGCAAAACTTGTGGAGAATATATTTATAAAGGAAAAAAATTTAATGCCCGTAAAGAAGATGTTGAAGGTGATGATTATTTAGGAATACGAATTTACAGATTTTATATAAAATGTACTCGGTGCCTTCAAGAAATAAGTTTCAAAACAGATCCTAAGAATACAGATTATGAGATCGAAGCAGGTGCCACTAGAAATTTTATGGCTCTAAAATTAGCAGAGGAACAAGCACAAAGAGAAGAAGATGAAGAAAAAGAAGAAGAGGCTACTAATCCAATGAAACTTTTAGAAAAAAGAACATTACAATCAAAACAGGAATTAGAATTGTTAGAATCTTTAGAAGAATTAAAAGATTTGAATCGTAGACAGCAAACTATTGATTATGATCAAATGTTAGAACAATTTGATACAGAAACAGCTAAACAAAGAACTGAAAAAGAACAAGAAGAATATGATGAAGAATGTGTTAAAGCAATATTTGGTAAAAAAATTATTGTAGAAGAAGAAATTGTAGAATTAGATGAAAATGAAACTAATGAACCACCAAAAAAAATAATGAAAAAAAATAAAAATAAAAATGAGAACAATATATCTACAATAAAACAAGAAAAAGTAAGTATTTTATTTCTTTATTTTCAATTCCATTTAGAAACATTAAGCATTTATGAAAACTATAAAACATTTTCCTACTTTTTCATTAAAGACTAAAGAGAACCAAAGGATAAAACCATCTGAAACATCATTATGGTCTGAAAGCACATCATCATCATCGAATAGAAAAAACTTGTTAGGTATAGTTAAAAGGAAAACAAACTTAGTTACTAAAGTAAATATAAATTCTTCAGTAACTAATGCAGATAAGAAAGAAATTCAAACTGTGACAAGCAAAGAAACAGGTATTTCTATGGAAGAACATAAAATATCTGAAAACACACATAATTTAACAAACAATAGCAACAACGGTCTTTCCTTACTGGGAACATATTCTGGCAGCAGTGATAATGATAGTAATTAATATTGTGTTCAATATTGTATATATAATTTAATTTTATAACATTTATTATAAAATAAAGTATGCATACAAAACATACAAGGATATAAATAAGCCTCATCGGATATAATGGTGTAAATCAATATATCAATAATTTTTTAACTTTTTTAACAAATTCAAAATATAAAATTACTACTCAATTTACACTTTTTTTATAAAACATTGCTAACAATTTGTGATTCGATTATTGTATTGAATATTGAATTAACAATATCTTGCGAAGACGTAGAATACCGCTTACCAAAGGCTTAATAACACAAAATAATCTCTTTATTTGATCGAAATTCATGGAGACATTTACCGCGTCGGTGATTAGAAAGTTCCTTACAGGATGCCGAAGCCCTTACCCCTAAAACAGAAAAACCAAATCAGAAAAACAAAAAGAGATGAATAAATTAAAAATCGGTCTGTTTCAAAGGCTAGGCACTCTGTAAGGAACTTAATATCAACGATATTACATTGAAAACTCGGTAGCAGGGAGTACCTAGCCTATTAAATCAGACCATATTAATACAATATTTAAATTTATTTACAATGTACATCACTAATTGTTTTTACAAATGATATATGAATTTTTATTATTGAAGTTTTAATCTATGGTCAATTATATTAATAATGATTGTAAATAACATGTATAATCAGTAACAAACTTATGGTAATATTTCTAGAAAATTTAATTGAATCATATCTCATGTATTATTTGCGACACGTGTTTATTGTACTACTGAGAAAGTTAAAATTTAATAATGATCATTTACTCCTATGTAGATAATATAAATCCTTCAAAAATAATAGCAAGATATAAGGTATATTGTAACAATGAACACACAGAAGAAACTATATACAGTGTTTATAAAGCGACACTATAAGGCATGGTCTTATATGCGAGTGGCGATCGAACACGGTAATGATATTGATGATATTCTCTCTGATAAGGATTTAGCGACTCCCTGCTACTATCTTCCATATTGAATTCTTTGTATGGATTGTGCACCCCGTAAATATACCTTCTATTTCTATCTGTCACAGGTAAGTCATAAAAATAATTATCGTTTTGCAAATCCTGATTATTCAATGCATCCTGGGTTATTTCCACACTAGACATATTTGTTAACCAATTAGACAAAGATTCGTTAGTATTGTCAGTGGAATCATTTTTATTTGACCATTCATCTTTGTCTTTCTCTACAGATGTTTCTTGGCGGCAACGTTCACAAATATAAGGTTGTTCCTCATCAGAGGATGTCTGTCGCTGTATATAGTCTCTGTAATCATGTAAGTGTCGATGATCAGTTTGTGGAACGGTTTTATGAGATAAAAATTCTACCCTGTTAGCACTTGAATCGTGCTGATTTTCATGTGGGAAAGACTGCAATTTGAAGGAATCTTGTGAATAAATTTGATCAGAATCGCTAAGATAATTTTGTGATAATTTATCTGGTTCACCATCCTCCTGAAATTTTAAAGAAGATAATGATTGTTCCCTAACGTACCGCTGTTCCTTATTCCTTTGTAGGGCTAGCTCAAGTTGAGCAATACGATTTTCTAAACGCGTGCGTTGAGCTTGGGCTCGATCTTGATGATCCTCCATCAACTTCACCATTTTCTCTAAACGCATGATTTGCAATTGCTTATTCTCTAAAGTTGTGTATAACTCTTGGATTGCTTCAGTCTTGGCAGCTATCTGTTTGTGGATCTGGACGATTAGAAATATTTTCCAATACTTTGAAAAGTTCTATCAATTAATATAATAATTATATTTTTTTCATATATATATATATATATATATATATATTATTTATTATCTAGCGGTGAATTCTGATCTAGTGGAATCGGAATTGTTAAAAGAGAGAAAAATCTAAATTTTTCACTTTAGAGTTTAAATTAAAATTTTGGTTATAAAAAATAATTTGATATTAATTTTTTTAAATATTTTCTTTTGAACTATTAAACGAAAGAAAATATTTAAATAAAATTAATCTTTTTTTAAAATTTGAGTTTCAATTTCTTAATTCTTAATAAAAATTAAACAATTTAAATAAGAAAATATAAAGGAACATCCCGAATTACCTGTTCGAGATATTCATTATTTTCATCGCTATTCGACAATTCTCCGTTTTCTTGTTGTACTTTTCCTTTCAAAATATCAAGCAACTCATCCCTGACTTTAAGGAACTTGCTCTGTTCACGCATCACACGATCGCGTTGTTCCAATTCTAATTGCTTTTGAGTGAGCGCAGTTTCTAACTCTTCTTTTTGTCGAATTATTTCTGCTAAATTATTACGAAGATCAGAGACCTGTTGTTGAAGCTCAATCGCGTGAGCGCTCAACCCAGCTTTTCCACCCTCCATGGACTGAGAATGCAGCCGCTCCTGAATTTCCATCAATTGTCTTTCTAACATCCCATTTTTTTCTTGGCTATATTATCGGATTAAAAAGAAAAAAGTTATTTGAAATATTTCTTGATATTGCATTTAAATGCAATAATATTTTGTTTATATTGAAAAATGTTATAATAATTTTAAATTTAGACAAAAATTATTCTTTTTATTATTTTTAAAAAAATTGCGCAATTCACCAATATCCAATATCATGTTACACTAACAATAGAATAACTTACGCATTTTTTGCAACCTTTTTCAGTCCTGTGTACTGCATCATCAGCTTTTGTAATTCGTTGGATTTGAACACCAATTCGGCAGCCAACTTTTCCCTCGAGTCTTCATCCTCCTCGCGACACTAGGTCACAAAAACAAAAAAAATAATAATTATAAATTATTATCATTCCATCAATTGAAGATAAAAGAGTATCTAACAAACGAAGAAATAAATTGAGCAGTTTTTAGGACTTATACGAGGACATGTCCCGAAAGTAGTGCAAACTAACGGCCGCTTGATGCATCACTGCAATGATCTCCTCTTTCTCCTGTTGCAGCTGCAATTTTATTTGTCTCTCAGCTTCCAGTTCGTTCCTGGTTTGCTGCAATTCGTTGAACAACCGTACTTCGTTCTCTGTGTGATTACCTTCTATAAGTAAAATAAAACGTTAATTAAGTTTTTATTTTAGAAAAAAGATATTTATTAATAACTTAATTAAGTCTTGATATTATTAATTTCCTTTTCAATTATTTCTTAATATTATAATTTTTATTTTTTATACCTGTGATTGTAATATCTTTATTTTTCTCCGCAAGCTCACATAATTGTTTGCTCTTCTCTTCGAGATTTCTATACCTTTCATCTAATTCGACGAATGCATCTTCTACTTGTTGCCTGTATTTTCATTAAAAAAAATATTATTATTATAATATATAATATCGTAAATATTTATGCAATGTTTTATATAATATCCATTGTTTTTGGATTCTTCATTTAATGAAAACAAAGAATTTCAAAATTCCTTTATACCTTTTCTCTTTTTCAATACCAAGATCAGCAGTGATGGCTTTCAATCTCTCAGACATCTCCTTAATAGTACTCATCGACTCGTTTTCCTTACTGTTCATTTTCTCTTTCAGCTCCACTAATCTGAATCAAGTCAAAAAGACACCAAAACAAAAATCATATTCTACGATATTCTACAAATATAAAAAGACAATTATCAAATGTTTAAAGAAAACCTTGCTTCAAAACTGTCCCTCTGTTTTTCCACCTTAGAAACCAGATCCTCGCTATTTTTCATCGTCTTTTGCATATCTTTCAATCTAGCATCTATTGCCATATCCTTCTGCTTCATCTGGCCTTCTAGAGTCTTCACATTGCATTGAAGTTGTTGTATCTTATCTTTATCCGCAGCCATATTCGTTTCCAAATCTCTGATTTTCGTACGCGCCTTCTGCAAATGTGTCTCAGTTTGTCGAAGACGATCCTTCCCTTGATTATTCTTGTCCTTTTCCGCTTGAAGTTCCTCCATTGCCGCATTCAAATGTAATTGCAATTCCTTCTGAGCTTCTATCGTGTTCAATTCCTTTTAAAGTAGAAACACAAATTAATATTAAAACAGTTAAATTGTTTTTGCAAATTGCTAAAATTGCGCGACTACTTTTGAAACGAAATTCGCATTTTTTCCTAATTATTTCCATATTATCACTTTAATTCTAGTTGCAATCGTTTGTAATCATATGAAATCAAAATACAAATATTATAATAAATATTTGACAGAATGATATTCCTTTTATGCGAATTTCAATGATTTCACACGATATAGTACGCCTATACCTTTAACTTCGTTCTGGAATGCTCATATTCGTCGATCATGCTCTGCACGTTGTTCCTGAACTCTGCGATCGATTTCTCCTCCAACTCTTGGATCTCGTTTAAACGTGATCTAATATTATCGTAATCCCTCTGATGTACCTCCAATTGTATTGTCACTTCTTCGGAATTCGTCTCTGTATTCTCGCTGGCTTCGATAAGATGAGATGTGATGAAACTGGTGAAATTCGACTGTTTATCCAATAACTCTTTACAGATATTCCTCAATCTCTGCGGGATCTCACGCAGCCGATCTTCCAAACATTCTAATAGCTCGTTCCCAGCAGAAAGCTTTTCTATGTGGGTGTCCACTGATTCATTACAAATCTGTTCCGCTACATAAGGAGCCTTGGGAGGTCCAATTTCGAGCTTTAGAATTTCCGGTTTGCCTGGATCTCTTGCGCCAGTTGTGATTAGCTTCTCGCGTAGTTGAGACAACTCGGTGTACAATTCTTGCGCTGCTTTCTGATGGAATTTGAATTCGTTTGGTGATCTTTCGATTAATTATATTATAAAGATGAATCGTTTCATAAAGTTGTAATAAAGTACAACTCGAAGATCCTTTGAACAATTTAAAAATCTCTAATGATAAATATTATATGATATATATAATTTATTGTTTTTTTAGAAGTCATTCAATATTGAGATCAGTCACCTGCTTATCTGTCAATTCTTTCTTCAACAGTAGATAACGTTTCTTCTTCATCGCGTATTGATTTTCGGGCCTAAGTGTAGATCCGGCAGGCAGATTAGTTGTAGGCCTCTTGTGCATAGTTGGGCTAATTGATGATTTTCCTGGACGTCGAACGGTATTGGTCTGAGATTTATTATTTATAGAAGCATCTTCCGTGGTATTGCTCGCAGTATCTCCCTGGAATAGAGATTCCCTTTTTATTTTTCTAAATATTCTTAATTTTAATCGTTACTGCGATTTTTTTTTTTATGTATTAAAAATAGTGTAGAAGTTTTATATAATTCTTTTTTTTTTTTGTTATTTAAATTTTACATTGAATTTAAATTAATTAATAACAATATGTAATCTTCGATTATGAAATTGATCGGTCCGAGAAATCTTTTTCAGCAAAGATATGTAACTCGATACGAACATGAACTGAGTTGCGTCCTGAATGGCTGTTCAGATTTTTAAGTTTTTGAGTCGCGGAAGCACTCTTGATCCCTGCACCTGACATCGCACTTTTTTCTGTAACGTTGATAGGATCTTCGTTTTCTAGATTTTCAAACAAATGTTTCACATTTTTATTCGTTCTATTATAGTTGGTACAAATTAATATAACAGTATTTTTTTTTTTTTATTAAAAAATATCTTTTCTACGATTTTAAATTTATATCAACAATATAAATATTTGCTTTTGTATATTTCATATTTTGCCCACGATATCGGGAAGCAATAAAGATATTTCATATTTATAAAAAGTATTAAATGTGTGTATGTTTATCCTATAAATAGTCTAAAAAATCTAAAAAATTAATTGTATTTTGAAAATTTAATATGATCAAATTAGCGAATAATTAAAAGACCTCACGAAATGCTTCTCTATTCTTATTTAATTACATACATTATTATTTCCACTCATCAAAATATAAATATTAAAGATCAAATGAGATCATTGCTAATTAATCAAGAATTCAACGTTTAATAATTACAACCAGTCAATCCTAATTGTATATCCTAACAATTGTAACTTAGCAATTTAATCCTATCATATATCATTATTACAATATTAATTATAACTCGATTCAATAGTCACTTAAATACATAGTTATTACCCCTCATCACTTTAAAATCCGTACATTCCATATCCCTAAAACTCGAATTTTCATTCTTTTTTAAAAGTCATCCCCAAATTTCTCAATATCAATCTCCTCGAACCTCAAAACTCTCTCTTTCTCTCTCTCTTTCATTCTCAAACCTCTTCCAATTCCTGTCAACCTTTCTCTTTCTCAACCAAAGGAGTGAAAATTACAACGCTTGCAAGCGATACGACGAGGCGGGGAATAACCATAATCCATAAATAAAATTAGAATAAATATAAAAACGATTGTTTAAAAGGAATCATGTTCACAACCTGATGGTTGGTGCGATGTCGTTAATTGATTCATTATCGTGGTCGATGGCTCGTCGTCGCGGTTATACAGTGAACTGGATCCAGATTTCGACGTCTGCGACACGTGGAGAAATTTGCGGCTTTCCTGGAGAAGTGGTCGGGTTTCGATTTCATGTTCCTACCGGTCGAAAGGCAGCGAGTTCGCACGACCGTCCACTCGTTCAAGACAGTCGACGACTTCGCGACATTGAACGATGCCACCGTTTAGTCGCCTTTGGCAAAAAAGAAAAAAAATAATTGATTTAAGCGAGACTTGCGGAAAAAGAATTTTGAATTTCTCTTCTTCTAGACCATCGTTCGACGTGATTACATAGGGTACGTTAGTAGATGGTTCGGGTTATAATGTAGAAAGCTTGAGAATTTCGTTGGAGATACGCAACACGATGATTTTAACCGATATTTTAAAACGTCAAAAAGTGGAGAGAGGAATGACGAGCGAGTTAGTGGCAGGCAATTGTCGGCAAATCGTTCGATACTTTGTTAGTTTCGCGGAGAATGAACGTATTGAAATATGAAATATGATAATATTTGACTATATATAATAGTGATCAGTTAAATGAAGTTTTGCAAATTTCGTAAATTATCGATAATCCGTTAATTTGATATTAGTTGTTCTGGATTGTGGTTTACATTTACGTAAAATATAGCAACAGATTAAAATATTTATATTCACTTACAGCCATACGTAATAAATCAACGTATAGGATTGTCTGAAATATTCCTCATCATATTTTTAATTAATTTAACAAATATTTTTAACATACGTTAAGTTAAAACTGCCAGGAAATTTCTTTTAGAGAGTATGATTTACTAAATTCATTATAATCGATTAAATAAAAAAGAATGGAAAGAAAAAGTTGGAGACGATTCAGAATATTTCTGAAAGAAATCTTTTTTAAAGAATTGTGCCCATTACATTGGCCTTCATCCAGTTAATCTATTTCGTTCGTTTCGTTGTGAGAAGTTCATGTAAGTTTTTTGGTAATTATCGTGGCGCCTATTTTTTGTTATAGCGAGAACCATAAGAGAAAAACAGGATAAGTTCATTTTTGTTGATTTTCTGACCTCGATGTTACTTAACGCCTGAAAGAAAGTATTTTATGAAAATGTTGTAAATTGAATGTATCAAAACAATATAACCTATAACAAAAATTCGAGATATACAATTTGCCTCGAAAATAAAAATATAAAAACAAGTATTTAGATTATTAATCAAAAAAATATTAAAACATATGAAAAATATTTATGAATTATATTTCGAAACAGAAAATTTAATTTTTTTGATTATTATATAAGAAATATTTGTTGATTAATTCTAATTACTTGTTATAAGTATGCAAGTTTTAGAATAATAAATTATATATAATTTATACCTTTATTAATGGTTGAATTCATTTATTATTTACACATATCAGCTAAAAATTTTATTTTTATTTTAAATTGATATTTTAGATGTATAATTTTCAATATCTACAATCATTCAAATTCTATTTTTTTGATTCTTTGATGTTCTATGAATGATTCATTCATTTTGAATGTTTCGTTTATATCAAGTTAATAAATACTTTTACACAAAAAATCTTATTGATTTTACTTTCTTCATCAATGTGAATAGAAATAGAAAAACATATAACGAGCCGCTGTGTGAAATAACAGGAACCCATACGTACTGGGTTGCGTCTGACTCGTGACGAAAAAATCTCCTTTGAAGTGTACTGCGCATTTGATTCGCGCAAGTAGTGGGTTGTTATTAGCGCGTCTCGAAACTCGTAGTCAGTTGGCCGGGGACTCGCAAAGGTGACGGATCTGTTGAATGTATAATTTGATTATATTTAACACACGTGACATGATGTACGAAAAGCAATCGTTATAAATTTAGTGCACGTGTTGTTTACGCGTTTATGTTCAAGACATTCCGATGATCATAATGGTGAGTATCAAAATTTTTTTAATCCTTTTAAAGCTTATAAGCTTATTTGTGAAAAATGAATAATAATAATCCTACGTAAAAATGATTTTTATGTACGCATTTTCTTTAATAAAAAAGTAAAAATATAATATTTTTGTAATATTTCAATTATTATTTGAATATAATATAATTTTGCATAATTTTTCATTTAACATAACATCAATAAAAATATCATTATATATAAAATATTATATTATAAAATATAAAATATTTAATAATAATTCTGAGTTATATTATACTGAGTTATGTAATAAAATGCAACATATATGTATAAATCCTTTTGTGTATGGACATAAAAGGGATTGTTGAAATGCTGATAGATGCAAGGAAAAGTTTCATTCTTCATTTCATTCTATTTTCAACTTAAATTGAAATACATGCACAATATTATATTTTCATTTATTTGATTTACATATGAAAAAATAGATTTCTTGCAAATTCTTTAAGAAAATTTAACTTAAAATTTTCATCCTCTAATATATCTAAATTATTATTAATTTATTTATTCCATTCATTTGTTCACTTTTTAAAAATTAAAAATATAATATAATATGATATTAATAAAAATGAATCACTTAATAATTAAATTTAAAATAAAATATTTAAAATAAATTGATAAATTAAATCAATTGTTAAACCACATTTTTATTTAAAAACTAGATTTGAAATTTTCCAATGTAGTTTACTCGATTCATCATTTTGTCTTATAAAGTATTTTTTAAAGTTTTATATTAATAAATATATTATAATATTTATTAAGAGATTTTTCTCAAAAAAATAATATGCTATTCAATACAGATTCAATTTTAAGATTATGTCAATAATTAATTTTAAGATAATGTTAATAATGCGAAATCAGATTTAATTGAAATCATTGAATCATTAAAGCGCAAATATGCGAATATCGATTCGCACATACACATGATGTACCGAGTGCCTAGTGGAAAAGGTCACGAGTGCAACAAGGGTGCAGACTGGCAATGACCTCTGAAATGACTTAATATGACGTATATGTTTCGTAATAAATAAAATAATATTTTTTCTACAATTATTTCCAATGCATTTAAAGTATGCTTTTGTAACATGACAAATTTTTGCAAAAAACTTTTAAATGTTTTTTTAATAATTTCGTGAAAATTGAAAAAAGAAAAAAAGAATATCAAAAATAATTTGATTGTGGTGAAATAAATTATTCAAAAAACTTTTATTCTATTTTTATAAAAAATTCATATATGACACCAGATATATTTCAATTTTTCGAAATAAAATATTTGTTATCAAAAAAATTACGAGGGAGAATAAAAAAAATAGAAATACTTTTGATAAAATTACAATTTCAGTTAAAAGATTGAATTTGATATTGAAATTATTATTGCGGAAAGATTTTCATTCAAATTTGTGTGAAATTGGAAATAGTATGTTAAACATAATATCATAATGTTTAACAGGAATTAATATTAAAGAAGCTTTAGATTAAATTAATTATTATTAATAATTTTAATAATTTTACTTATATTATCATATATTATATTATACTATAATATCATAAATTTAACTTTATTATTCTTTAGTGAAATTATTAAAAAAACTAATTTATATAATAACGTAAAATTTAAGAATGGACAAAAAAGAGTCAATAGTATTCAATAAAAATTTTATAATAAAGAAACGTGTTAAAACGAAAATAAAAAGAAAATAATAGTACCGTAATGATAAATTTTTTAATGTCTGAAATTTCTTTCGAACTTCACAAAACTGTTTTGTAAATGGTATAAAATTGAGCTGCTTCTTTTCTTTCCCCATTTGATCATCAATCATTTTAGTAGAGAAGCATGTTTCTGTTCGTTTTGATCCTCTTCGAAAGTTGCGAAAGATAAGACATCTTTTTCACTCAAGATTTTATATGTTATATTTTATATTTTAGATTTTAGCACAATGCTTCTAACTATATAATAAACATGAAAATTAATAAAAAATTAATTGTTGTTATGTATATTAATTACAAAAACAGAATATTGATGATCATATTAATATATTAATATAGAATATATTAAAATTAAAAAATAAAATATGTACAAAATTAAAAAATAGAAAATAAAATGTTTTATTAATTTTTTATCTTAAAAATCATCATTTTTAAGAAAGTATATAGTATAGTACATTTAAAAAAAATAATTTAAATTTCAAAAAAAAAATTAAAATTTTATTTTAAAAATTAAATCCACAAACCATAAGTGTTTTCTTTTCGATATTAAATTGAATATTCATTTCTAAATTGTTATTTTCTAAATTGTTCAATCGTAATATATTTCAAGAAAAGTAAAAGTAATCAGATTCATTCAATCTGAATATCCGTTTCCACTTGAAAAATCTTTGCATTTACAACATGTGATGATGGACATGTGATATATATATGTGACAAACATGGATATCCAATTGTATAATTTTATATTTTATATTGGATTAAATGCAGAAATATAACATGGCAATTTCAATCCTTTTTTTGCAACTTGAGTAATATCAACTTTATGAGCCTGAAAAATTAAATATATAAATTTATTTTTAATAAAATAAAATAAATAATATAGTCATAAAGTCTATAGTCATATTTTATATCAAAGAAAATTTATAATGAAACGATTTTTTTTCAAAAGACAATTTTTTTTTATTATCTAATACTTACCAACAAATTTGCAAAAATAATAGATGTTTTTATGAAAACATGATCTCTCAAAAAACATTATACAGATGATAAATTAATTGATCAATTTAAAATAATTTTTATTCAAAATTTAATAGCGAAATTTCTAAAAATTACAACAATTCAAACGGTTAAAACCGTCTTTCCTAGACTTATTGACATTCGAATGACGTATTGGCAGTTCTCACAATCTGTCGCTCGCAGTTTCATTCTGCCCGATGCAATCCTCCAAGCCCCTTTCTCTTTTATTCTCACTTTTTATTCCACTCCAACCATCTCCCAACCACGTTTCCTCACCTACTGACGTATAATAGGGGTAATTTAGGTTCTATCCTCAATTCTGATGAAAAAAATTGAATAGTGCCTTCGAGATAAAGATCTGTCAGCATCTCAAAGAATTTTTATCTTTTATAATAGTCATTTGTTATTAAAAATCTTAAAATTATATTACAAATGCTTTATATTATGTATATTTAAAAATATAAATCGTTTGTTCGAAAATTGTCTTAATATCGATATGAAAGTTAAAATTAAAATAATCGAACAACAATCGATTATTTTAGAGATATATCATATTTGATGTAACGTATTTAGTAGAAAGAAAAGGAAAGGAAAAAAGATTTCGTCCATTTTTTCATTAAGTAAGATTATTTAACAGATTTATATCTTATATGTTAGAATAATGAAGATTAAATTAAATACATGTGTAAAAGGATAGTTAGATAGTATTTGTGAGAATTGTGTTTTCAGTATGAATTCTTCTAATGACAAGTTCATTTTCGTAGTGTAATATGTATATTGTAATTTCAAAAGAAAGAAAGATGAAGATATGATATATATTAAGTATAAATATAATAAAACTAGATAACAAAGTAATTGAAATATCGAGAAAAATATTCAGGTAGGATTTAATATTTTTTTAATTTTTAAAACCTTATTATATAAACATTATTAAAGATTATTAAAGATATTATTTGGTAGATTGATTAGAGATGTATCGATTTAAACAATATCGATGTCTTAGAAAAAAAAAAAATTTATAAAATTCAATATACATTATATAATTACATCGAATATGTCATATTAATAAGAAATATGTATATTCATATTATTTAATTCAATGATACGAAATATTTAAACTATTTCATTTATACCTAACCTTATTTAATTCATTATCGATATATACATTCGTTACAAAAATTAACTCCATTTTTTTATTATATTATTTATAAAAAAAATAATTTTTCGTTGTTTTTTATATACTTACCATTTATTAGAATAATAATGATTCATAATAATAAAACCTTATATATCACAAACTATTCAATATATCATACATCGACAAAGAGAAAGCGCGAAAGAAATAGCAATGCATGACGCTATATCTTTGCCAAGATGAGTCAGTCAGTGACTATCATACGTGTATAGACGTCCAAAGTAGTAGTACGGACACATGTTTTCGCGCACGTGTTGGCAACAGCAGTCTAACCGGCATTCACGTGCTTCGTCGCAGAATATTCATATTCTAATTTAATAGAAGCTGATAAAGTGACATTTCGTATTGCAGATCATATAATAACTACCGAATTTTGCTTTGTTGCATGACGTGACGTTTTACGTAATTAACGAGACGTAACACGAGTGAAATGAAGATTCTCATCGTCACGACAGCTTTTATCGCATGATTAAATGGGTAATCGATTTAGTTAATTGTTATTATGTTTGCTCTGTGAAGGTAATGAATCTTAATTAAGATAATTCATAATTAATCTTGTAAATTTCTACATCATATTTCGTCTTTATTGTGTAAGAACATATTTTCAAATATGTTAGGTTATCTAAAAATTAATTGTAGTGTTTTGTTTAAAGTTTAAAGTGATATTACGTTACATAAAATTATTTAATCGTGATTTATATAAGTTTTTTAAGATACGATGTTTTTTTTTATTGATTTTTTTTCTTAAATATTATATCAATTAAACATCGTATATTGTAGCAATGTATATTGTAAAAATTTTCTTTGAAAAATGTTAATTAAAAAATTTCATCATAAAATATATGATTCGAATAATATTTTAAACAATATTATTCTCATAAAATATTATATGAATTTATTTCATTTTCATTGCTAAATGAATAGATTAGATCGATAACAACTGAACATAGAAGGTAAAGGACAACATAACCTAAATTATAATAAAATATTTGTTTTAAAATGATATATCACGCAATAAATGTGAAATTAATTTTTTTAATATTGAATTGCAATTTATTTTTGGAAACAAGATATTTATTATAAATTATTTAATAATCAAATAATGAAACATTTGATAGTGGATAGATAATAGATGATAATTTAAATTTGTGATTTTAATTTATTTTATATTATGCAAATTAATGTGAAAATTACTAATTGGATCGAATTCATTGTATTTAATAAAATCAAAAGCAATTTCTCTCATTACATCTTAAATCTAATTGAGAATTCAGTCTCAAATATTTCTAATAATAATAAGGTTATAATTTTATGTAATATATTTTTTATATTTTACAATATTAATAATTTTTATGCACAAATTTAAAAAAGTTTTTAAAATTCTAAATTGAATCATGAAACGATTTTTAATTCATAAGATATTCATAAGATAATATTCCATAAAAATCTTTGCAACCATTTGAAAGCTATCACGCAAAACATTTCTCGTCTCTTCTAGTTCGTGACTCATCGCCTGTTATAAGTCGTTACGACATTGAATCTTTCTCGGTCATGTAAACGGATTTGCTGCAATCGCCACGGCCAAGATCTTCATCAAGGCAAACGTCAATGAATAAGCCTTGGAAATTATGTAATAGAAAATCGTGTTATCGACCGGTTGAATGGAACATATAAGCACAGTAAGTCGTGAAAGTATTCGAATGCTTGCAAAAATTTAAAACATCTTGCATATCTTTTATATAACGATTATGGTATTGAATATAGATATTTTATTGTACATGTAGAACATGTACTATTTTCTATTTTCTTTTATATTCTTCTACGAAACATATAATATTTAAAATACTTTGAAAAAATATTCGATATTTTATTTCTATTATTTCATGTATTTCTTTATTTACTATTATTACTGTTATTATAATTTCTTAATTATAATAGGTTAAGTCTCGCGGTTCAATAACGAGGATTAGATAAAATTAAATCTATTGATATGAGTCATTTCTGATCCAATCATCAAATTTCGTTGCTGATATTTCAAAATTTAATCATAGAAATGTGTTTATTCAATTTGAATATGGATGATTTCTCTTCATTTCAATATCAATAAAAACCAATATTAATTTATATATTGTGTATATTATGTGTATTATTATTTAATCTATTTTATAATGTTTTCAATGATAATTTGATATTGATTCGTTTATGATCTTTCCTTCTTCGTCAGTGAAATAGTACTTGTCAATTCAAGCTTGTGGTTCTCAGTAATTCGTCCATGACTTCCCTGGTGACACACTGCGGTTCCTAGACACCGATTTCGTCCATGAAAGTCCACTAGTTCGTCGACGTTAGTCTATCTCTCGGTTTCTCATGTTAGTTACACATTGGTTCATTCTATTCCGTTACTGTTCCATTGTTCATGTGATCACATTTCCATGCCTCACATGTATGTAATAGTAAATTTATTTTAGTTAGATAATAGTTAGAAAGAATATTTTGTTCTATTTTTTATTAATAAAAAAAATAGATGAATTTTTGTACGAATATATAAAACTTTCATACAAATGCTTTGAAATGATCAAATTTATTTCTTGAACAAGCTTTGATTTTTAAATGCAAAAATATGATTGACACGAAATAAAATTTTCAAATTTAATAATATTATTCTAAATAGAATTGATTTTTGTGTGGTTCATTTGTTTGTAAATACATTGATAAATTATAAATAATTATATATGTAAAAATTTTCTTTATTTCACTATTTCTTATTCTTAATATGAAATAATGAAATAACTTATTAATATCCTGTACATTTGCAATAGATGTGTCATAAATTTCTGATACAATGTACGAGCATTGTACAGAATCACAATGAAGGATCACCCTTGGGTCTCTTACTTCGTTGACTTGTATCACTTTATCAACCTCTCAGTTATAATCTCTTTGCATAATCTACGAACGCAATATCATGACATAATTTCATTTATACGACACCTTAGATAATATATCTTTTAATTTTCAAATTCAATATAAAAAAATTCATTTTAACAATACAATATTCTATATAATCTATATCAAATGAACATCTATATAAATTATTTATTACAATTATTTTATTTTATTAACATTTTACAGTACACACCTTAACATTTATTCTCAATTATTTATTTATAATGAAAATTTTCAACGTTTATTCATTTTCTTATAATTAAATAGAAGTACAATAAATATAATTCATAAAATTGTATGAAAAGAGATTGCAAGTTATTTGGCTACTATGAAAAGAGATCGGCTACTCAAAAGAGATTGATAAAAATTGATAAATGGACCGTGATTGTACACCATTTTCGTTATTGCACGAATTGTTAGTTTTTTATCCATACGACGAAAGCACAAACAAACGTACATACAATAAATATAGAATATTTCGTTTTTCCGCTATGTGACCCGAGGGTAGAAGAAAGAAACACGAAGTCTCTTCCATTCACGTGAAATGAAAACTCGCAGAATGCGACCATCTGTCGTGGATGCTCGAGGATAAATTAGGTCAATCGGTTTCCGATTCTAATCCCGCTTGAGACCTATCATTTTTATTTACTGCACCGATTTTAGATAATTTACAAGCGAATATCGCGCGAATTCGATCATTAATCAAAACAATGGCCAGGGAAGAACCGAGATGTCATTTTCACTCCTCTCTCCTCTCTTTATCACGAATTTTTTTTTATTTTTCAGGATGAAGATTTTAGAAAATTGAAATATAAAGACTTAATATCAAAATGGCTTATTATACGAATAATTTATCCATTGTTTTGTGCTTTTTGGGAAATACAATAAACAAAAATATAATTTCAAATAATTTATACAAAATATGATTGTGATTTCGCAAAATGTATATAAAAAATTCAAATGTGTATAAGAATTATCGATCTTTTTTTTAAGGATAAACAATAAAGTTTTTTATCTCGTATAAATAAGAAAGAAATTTATTTTGAATAATAATAGTTATTCGTCAAAGTGAATTCATTGATAAACTTTTTTCTTTTTTTTTTTTACTAGGGAATAAGAAGCTTAAGGGACATTCGCAGATTTTTGTTGCTGTTGGCGGCAATAACGAGCACAAATGCGTTAAAATGTTCCAGACTCATAGAAGGCACGACTATGCCTCGTTCCAATGCAGATGGAAAATACCATTTATTCATCACTCTCTTCAACCGAACAGAAATGGTTTTCTCCTATATGCCAAATACCAGATACAGTGGTAAGTCTTTTATAGTATTAAAAATTTATAATTTAGGGAGAGCTTATGAAAGAAGATGGTCTCTTTCCTAAGATAAAAGAATAATATTGATAAATACTGCAAAATTTTCTTTTTCCACGTGATCGATTAATATTACACATATCTAAAATTTGTCAAAATTTAATTATTAAATGCGATATTAATTTTATTACACGTAATTTGACTTGAAACTCGGATAGACACCGAGATAAGAAACTTTGTTTACTCTCTTAAAGAGAACTTGATTCAAATCTAGGGGAAGTTTTAATTCTCTTCGCGATTAATTTGAATAGTTAGATAGATTCATAGTGGATCAATTTATAAATTATTTATTTATTTAACGAGGATAAAAGAGAAATTATTCTACTGTTTTCAATTATTTATTTGAATAGAAAAAAGTCTGTAATTATATTTACAATGTATCAATGTTTTATTTTGTAAAAATTTTTGGTTAATTGTTTCATTAATTTCATTAATTAATTTTGCTTTACAATTTAATATATAATGTAGTTGTAATATAATATAATATTAATTGTCAAGATTTTGTGTAATAGATTTGAAGCATAGTTTCAAAAATAAATGTTGAAAGAAGTAAGAGCGATAATGCATGAAAGAAAAGGGAGAAAATGAGAAATCGAATAAAATTTGCTTATCATTCGAATAATTAATAATCAAAATTTTAGTGCAAAAACAAAAATTTCCAACTTTAAATAACTCTAATACATCATCGTAATTAATTCCACTCTAAAAATAAACATTTTTCTCCCACGACAATAATGCAACACGATTTCGTTGTAAATTTAATACTCGTCGTATAATACTTTACCATAAATCATATCAATCGTCTAGTTGGGCTATTGATATATCTCATACAGAAGTACCGTGAAAAGATCGTCGAAAAGAAAGAAAGAAATTTTTCTCGAGCTAATTCTTTTGACGATAATGATGGCAATTATTGAAAAAGTCGAATATATTATCAATCTTATGCAAACTTCCATCGAATTCAAAACGCACTAAAAATTCAACGTTCGTAAAAAATTATTTTCCAAATGATAAAAACGAGAATGCAATTTTTGGGAAATGTAGACGTTTCGTTTTTTTTAAATTTGATAATAAACT